TTTTTTTTCAGCCCCCCCCCCCCCCTCATTGCTCGATATTACATTTTATAAAAAGGATTTATATGAGTATACGGAAAACTTTTTTTTGTTTAGGGGTTGTTTAATTTCATTAAATTTTTGCGACTCACACTTTTATTTATAATTATATAAATCCCGGTGTACAGTGCTAGCTAAAGAAAATGTATTTTCATTCTTCTTATTGCGTTTCTATTTTTTTCTATTTTTAGCGCTTATATTTATGAAAACGTTATTTATATTTTTTTTTAATTAAAAAAAAAACAACTAATTTCAAATTGCGATAATTACCGAACGTGCAGTATTGAAGCCGATATTTAGTTTTCACCGAACCGAATTCGAATTTAACCTGTTAACGAACAGAACCCGAAATAGGGGGTTGTTATCGAACCGAACCGAACCCGAACTTCTAAAAGAGGGTCCGACCGCCGACCCCCATCTCTAGTTGAAGCTTGAATAACAAAACGGAGAAAGGTTTTCACTTCAGCTGAAACGTCCGTTTTATTGTCTCGATTGGTTATTCAAACTTCAACTCATCTCGTTCTGAATAGCGATCTCTACTATATTATCCTTCATATTCTAAGGTTAAGAAACTTTGATTTTAATAATAATATTAATAAGCTAGCAAAACTATATTTTTACTTTTTTCTAAAAACCGACCTGTGATTCGAGATTTATTGCTGAAAGTCATTCGAATCATTAGTAGGCCTATTATCGCCTGCTTATCTTTGAGAGATGCTAGATTTTAAAACTGGCGTTGGTCAGACTAGAGTCACATGACTGGGGACTACACGTAGAAGGGTTCTGGTTGTAGCGATTTCTGCTTGAAACCCAGAACGGTCTGCAGCTGTTATTTTCGTAATTGTAGCGTATTCATGACACACCATGGGCGGATCTAGAACAAGTTCAAGGAAATAACGCCCATGAGAGATTAATCCAATAAAATACGTTGGGTTGATATATAAATGTATATTTCACCAGTTATAACAGGTCAACAATAACAGTTTCCTCCCCTAATGCCTAATACCTTCATTATCAGACACTGCCAGTAACTCGTGACTCATCTCTCCGAGCGTCTCCACCCCACCCCCAATCCCCCTCCTTATAATCTCCGGCATCCGCCCCTACCCCACCCCGATCCCGTTTCACCGATCCCAATCGGTTATTGACAGTTAATAAATAACTATTACCCGTAAAAAAAATAACGTGTGTTTTCATAAAGGGAACATTGATTCCAAACGTATAATTCGCTACCGACTAAGAGGCAGAAAAAAAAAATATATTTATGTTTGAATAAATGTTCGAATGTTGTCGAAAAATTGGTCTTGTTACTGAGTATTTTTAATAAACAATCTCACATTTTCCAGATTTGTACCTTGAGTTAAGGCAACATACAGATTTCCGTGGACGCATACTGGTTCAGACAGGTATAATCCTAAATAATTAAATGAGTGTCCTTATTAGGACTTTTTTTTTTTTCGTCATAAACGTTCTATGCTCAAGGCCCCATCTCATGGGTCAACGTTGCATGCTCCGAAAATGCAAACTGTTCCAAAAGTTTTCAAAGTTCCAGATAAACATGCGAAAGGTGGTACGTTACTGGCTTGAGAGAATTCGCCAACTTTTCGCTTTGAAGGGAAACATTTAGAACAGTGGTTCTCAACCTTCCTAATGCCGCGACCCTTTAATACAGTTCCTCGTGTTGTGGTGAACCCCAACGATACAATTATTTTCCTTGCTACTTCATAAATATGTGTTTTTCTATGGTCATAGGCGACCCCTTTGTAAGGATCTTTCGAACCCCCAAAGGGGTCGCGACCCACAGGTTGAGAACCGCTGATTTAGAATAAGTTATTGCTCATTTACAACTAATTTTCACAATAAATCTTATACTTTAAGGCTACGCCGCTGATAAAGATACGACATGTAACAAAATAGTGTTGTGGACCTAGCACTATGAATGATGACGTTGTGAGCTATTCTTGATCGCTTCAGAGCTTTCGACCTTTTAGACTACGCTTCTTAAACTGTGAGTATTGCTTGAACTTTGGCTGATGCTACTTAAACTGTAAGTATTGCTTGAACTGTGGCTGATGCTACTTAAACTGTAAGTATTGCTTGAACTGTGGCTGACGCTACTTAAACTGTAAGTATTGCTTGAACTTTCGCTGATGCTACTTAAACTGTAAGTATTGTTTGAACTTGGCTGACGCTACTTAAACTGTAAGTATTGCTTGAACTTTGGCTGACCTCTGCTAATGTTCTCCTGAATTCTAATTAATATTTCCACAATGGCATAACTGTTTTGAAGGTATTCATCAGTTGGTGGGGGAGGGGAGGAGGTATCTTTAAAGGAAAAAAAAATATTGATCATATTATTTTGATAAGAAAATAGACGATAAAAAGATACATATAATTTAACTTTCTTCCCCGATCAAAATGTTGGCAGGGGGCAAAAGAGAATCAAACATTTTTTTTTTCCGTTGGCTGGTTGAGAGGGGGCGGGGGAGCTGAATGGTGGCAGTGGGGAGATGCATATTATTACATAAGTCCCCGATAGCCATACAAAATCCTATTTGTGATTTAAAACATGAATATCCTCTGTAGTTTATATTCAGATATTAAACGCACACATACACACACTGGTAACACGTGACTTAAGTCCCCCATAATAAGGTTTCTTTATTTCTCCATGAGACCAGATTCAAAAGGAGATCATGCTTGTCTTACTCGCATTGTGTGCTGGCCTTAGTCTATCGTCTGCTATGGTTTGCCTACCAGGATTTTGTGACCACATTGAGCAGCCGGTACTCGACTGCAAAGGAGGAATCATTCAACATGCCGGATTTTGTGGTTTCTACAACTTTTGTGCCAGGGTGACGTTCATTTATTTATCTATTTTTGTACCGTCGGTGAGAGTATCGATGATATGTTTGTGTGTGTGTCTTTTTTATGACGTACGTGTTGTGACTTACTTGTCATATATGTCGTAATACGCGTCGTAAAATAAAACAGAGCAATAGAGCTGTTTTAAAGACTTTGGGTACCCAGTAGCACCTCCCTTTTCTTTAAGCGCAGCCCCATTCTAGAAGGGATTTCAAAATTTGCATAGCTGTTTTCAACACGTTTTCCGTTCCCGTTACTACACCAGAAGAATAGTGAAAGAGTTGATCAGTGACTCTGAAATTCTGACCTTTAAAAGTTTTCAACAACTGTTGCCGTGAATTTCAGATTGAAGGAGAAGCGTGTATAGCTGAGATGCATATCAGGGGCGTCCCCAACACTGCAATCTGCGATGAAGGTCTTGAGTGCGCCCCATTTCTTGTCGATGGCACTGAACAGGGTCACAGATGTGTGAAAAAGTCAGAAAAACCAGTAGCTCAAAGACTGGGTGTGTACTTAATAATATAAAAACTGGGATTTTTATATTTAATATTTTATTTAAGAATCGCAAGGAACAATTTAAAAAACCGGAGCTTGAATGGCACTGGTCACAAGTACAGCATTTCTTATTGCCAGTTTGTGACGCGAGGGGGTGTGTGGTAAAGATCTTGTGTGACGTCAAAATCTTAAATAAATTATTTTCAAATACAAAATTGTACAACTGTATTTCTTGTTGTTTAACATAACCTATTGGAAGCATTGCATATGAGAGGGTCAGAAGTCACAGAACTATTGTTAGGGTGTAATTTACACTTTTTTTGGCTACTAGATTACGTTTGAGTCTAATGGTACCCGGGTGCGAATGGCGGCGCTGTCTGGGTCCATTTTGACTCTGCTATTCGGATGTCATTTGTGGTAGTTTATTTTAGTTAAACTGAAGAATTAAATTTACAAAAATATAGTCCATTCAATTATCTTTCATTTGATACCTCATATTGTCTTACAAACCAAATAATAAGTTTTTAATAGTTTTTTAATTCCCAACCTCTCATTTCTGGTACCCGGTTACGAAAAGCTACTTCGATTTTAATTTTTATTTTAACAAAATTCCAAACTTTGTGTATTAACGTTGCGCATGCTCAATGGATTTCGCATCCAGATGATAGTCTGCATTTAAGTAACGGAAGTAACTTGATACCTTTTTTCCAACATTTTAAAATGTTACAGAAATAATTTTCTCTGCATTTTATTATATTTTGTGCAAACGTAACAATTCTGCTTCATTTTTTTACTTTAAGTTACGAATCTTCCAACGTTGTATTTTTTAAATAAGTGTTTCCTGAAGAATTCCCAATAATATACCTCACTGCACACCTTTAAGCATGTCTGTTCCCACCGACACAACTAATGGTGAAAGTGAAATAGAAAAGTAAATGGATAAACCTTAGCTGACGGTAGGAGTTTTTAAAAAGGTAGGAGTCACTGCTTAAATGGACTCTAAAATAAATCGTTTGAAAAAAACTATTCCAGTGTCACCGTGTGAGACAGCGTGTCAGAGACAGTCCCTCTTGTGCACCATATCGATGGTGGTCTACCAGGGACAGTGGTTTGCCAAGTGTGATCAACAGGGCAACTTCCTACCCCAACAATGCGATAATACCAGTAAGTAGAGACTGGCTGACCTGATACAACATCAACACGTGTGATGAATGCACTGACGTAACTGCCCGGGGAGGGCCAAGTTTTTTGCACACCCAACGAAAAATCCCCCCCCCTTTGCATTAGACTAAAGATGACGCCCCTCCATAAATATAAATAGTCTCTCCCCACGGGGATGGCCAAATTTTTTGCAACCCCAACGAAAAATCCCCCCCCCTTTGCCTTAGACTAAAGATGACCCCCCTCCATAAATATAAATAGTCTCTCCCCCCCCCCCCAACCTTCTACGCTAGTGGATGAACTTTTTTAGATTGACGGCTTTCCATAAAGTACGTCACGCTCCGGAAAAAGGGGAGGGGGGCTTAGGAAGTGTGACAGTTTGTGACGCGAGGGGGGTTAAAGATCTTGGGAGACGTCAGTCACAATCTTAAAATATTTTGTTGATCATATATGAAACATGAAATTGACAGTGATGATGAACTTTCTGTTGTTATGGATATATTCTAGCAGAAGATGTCACTTTTAAAAAAAAAACGTTTATTAGTAAGTGTGTTTTCTATAAAATTTTAATTAGTTTTTATTTTTTAAACAATCTTTTAGTTCAAAAGTGTAACGTTCTTTATGGAAGGGTTCCTGAGATTTGTGACATACTCTGACAGGGGAGGGTGGGGGCCCCATTCTACAATAAACGATCTAGGCACTGAAATCATGTATTCCTCTGAGTCAGAATGAGTTATTATTTGAACGTCATGAAAATAATAATTCATGGAAAAAATAAACTTTTACGGTAATTGTTGCTTTAAGTGTGATTGCTAATGATGGCAATTGTTTATGCCTACGTCAAAAATAATTTTAATTTTTTTTCCTATTTTCTTTCCAGATCATTGCTTTTGTGTTGATCCTATTACTGGCGTGGTGCAACAGGGAACCAAAGTTTTGGGGAGCGCAAACTGCTAATATGGAGAACCTCCCTTCTTTTTTTCTCTTTTTTTTTAAATGTATCACGCTTGATTCATTAGTAACAAAAATAAAATACTGAAAAAAAAATTAACCTTATCTTTTGCGTGAAACTTATTTATTGCAAAAATATTAGTTGTAAGGAAAAAATTCAACAGGGAAAAAGGTGTGTATGTATGTATGTATGTATGTGTGTATGTATATATATATATGGTGAAAACTGTCAGTGGTGTAAGTATTTTTAGGTCTATTGCTTTGGGATTTTCATGAGATCGGTGCAGAAAACTGAAAGAACTCACTGGACAGAAGCCTAACTAGTGGTTTGGTGGTGGGCGCCAAAAATGGAAAAATAATATTTTATCTCATATTGAAAATATGCTCTTACTCGTCTAACAAATACTTGAGTGCTGCGTGCAGACAACGTCAATGAAATATCTAAATAGGCCTAAGCCCAAGAAGGATCCATTCAGGCTTTACAGCCGTCCTTAATTTTACGGACATTCTGTAAAAAAAAAATTCGAACCAAAATGATTGATCAGTATACGTCCTAAATTCACTCCGTAAGAAGTTAAGGATGTTCTTTAAAAAAAAAAAATTCGAAATAGTCCTTAATTTAGGCATTTAAGGCTTTTCAAGCGATACCCCCCCCCCCCAACACACACACAACTGGAAGTGTCCTCGTATGTTATTTTTCCTTGCTCTTTAAACGTGTATGAGCTGACGCTTCATATAGGATTTTTCGTCTGCGCTAGCTATGGCATAATTGACACATTATATGCCTACAAATGAAATTATTCCCAGGGCCCACGGTAATTAATTATTTTTTGGTCTTAGCGCCGAAGTATTTTAACAACTTTATATGATGAAAATATGTTTCCGTAAAAAAAAAAAATTTTTCCATAAACAATTTGAAGATTTATCATATTACATATTTGTCCGTAAATTCTATTTTAATTGGTTGGCAACTAAGGTACCCGTGCTAGGCTCAGTAATAAATAATCAAATGGGGGGGGGGGGGGGGAAATATTTTTTTGTTTTTTTGTAATTTGTTTTTTTTTTTTTTTTTAAAGGGGGGGCCTTTTTTTTTTTTTTTTTTAATAATTGTTTCGTGTTCTGATAATTCGTTTTTTTTTTTTGGTTAAAAGGGAGGCCACTCTTATCTATTTTTTTTAATATTAAATAAATAAGGGCTTGGCTAAAGACGGTTACCAACAAGTTCCTAAAATACGATATTTCATGCGCCCTATTTCCTTGATGCCCATTGATAGGATTGAATTACTTAATTTTTATTAGTGAGTAATTGGAATTATATATTAAAATAAAGTTTACTAATTAAATGGTTGACTCCTAGCCCTTACTAAACTCTGGGGTCATTAGCCATAAGTATTTATTAGGATTAGCTAGACTAGAGTTGGTGTCAACTCTGTACAGTCGTCATTCATAGTGTGGCCCCATCCCGACTTCCACATAGACCCCCTCCGAGATTGCCCTGTGTCTCTGTCTCAAAAGTACCTAGAGCTAAAGGGCCCGCCATAAAATAATAAATGACATAACACATTTCCCCCCTGATTTTTTTACACCCCCCTCCCCCTATCATCTCAAATTTCTAACACACATTAAACACTCTTATAGCACATTGTCACAATTTTTTTACATTATTTATGGATGGTCTCTAACCTTGCAGAGTGCCATGTTGTTATGAATACACTGGTAAGACATAAATACACAAGATTGTTTTTTGTAAATGGGAGTTTTTATATCCGCTCTAGGTTAGACAGAGGATGTATGTTAATAGGACAGTAAATTTTTGGATGGGGGATTTAGATGCTGGTATAAAATTGTTGAATTATTACTTGGTATAATCTCAGTAGAGACCATCAAGTAAATTGTAAATTAAAACCTGCAGGATCTCTACATATGGCTTCAATAAAGGGCATATTTTGAATTTTAAAGAATCTAAAATCGATTAGTCTGTCTGTATGTAATTAGCCGACCCAAATTAAATCTAATTATTGTATGGAAAAAAACACTGTGTGCCTAGGAAGTATGTAATCTGTTGTTAGATAGCGAGCAATGCTTCAGTGCCAAGCTTTTAATTTAATGAAGGTTGTACAAAGCCTGTCCTTGATGTAACACCAATAGTAATAGCCCATGATTTTTTTTCTAGTCTTTTGTGTGCTATTTATAATTGTAATGAGAGTTTGATTTTAATTTGCAGAAGTTGCAGTTTTCCTAATCCATTAAAAAAGGCTATGGCTCTGTCAGTGGAGAAGTTGCTGACAGATGCACACACACTCATCATACATCTGAAAGATCATGATACTCTCACTGACAGCATCATAGCAACAACACAAACACTTTTTAATAAAGTTGAGGCTATGAAACAGGCAAGTACCAGAAACTATATCGGTTTGTTGAAGCACTGAAAAGTTAGTACTGCAGACTACGTTTCTGATAAAGAAATTCCAATAAAATGTTGCTAGGTTGATGAAACTGGATTTCGTAACTTTCTAAATACTGAAATGTGTCACTCTGTGTTTGAAGGATTGCATACTTGCAAATTTAAAAAAAATACCTATTAACATAACTTACTAACAAGACAAAACCCTTTGGTCTTACATAAATGAAATTACTTGTTATGTTGTGCTATTCTTTGAAATTCATACTTTGTTTGCTCATATCTTGGGGAATTTAAGGCAATGATTTATTTTGTGCAACTGTTCACTGTTACACATACTTGTGTTGTTGCAGATTTGAAAACAAAATTATTTAAAAAAAATTAATTTAAAAAAAGTAAAAGTTCATGATAAATTAAATTTTAAATAATCTTTTAAAATCTGATCTATCAGGTCTAACATGAACAATTATCATTTTATTATTTTATAAAGCAACAAAAATTAAGTTGAACATTTGTGTTTCTCTTAAAACCTTTCCATCTACAGCAGCATTGAAAGTGAAGTTTTCTCTAACTTACCTTTAAATTTCTTTGGAATTTTTTTTTTCTTTTTTTTTGTATTTGTCTTGTCATGTTTTGTTTTTTTATACCTGAATTAAAATATTAAATTCAATAAAAGTAACCTAAAGGATTTAATGGAATTTTAACTTTTTATTTATTGATAAATAATAAAAATCCCTAAAATATTTCGTGAAGTAAATAAATACCTGCAGTAATTTAACGAAAGACCATTTAATGTAGAATTATTATGTTTGTCTTTTTCCCTCCACAGTACCAAGATGATATTACTGAATTAAATGAGATAGCAAAGCATCGGCCCAGGTCAACACTAGTTTTAGGCATTGCCCAAGAGAACCGGCAAATTCGTGAGCTGCAGCAGGAAAACAGGGAACTACAGGCCACGCTGGAGGAACATCAGTCAGCCCTGGAGCTCATCATGCAGAAATACAGAGAGCACACAGTTAAGCTTCTACAAAGTAACAGACTAGAAAGGGCAATACAAGAAAAGGAGATTGTAGATAAGGTATTTAGTTTAAAATTTTTTTTCATTTATGAAGTAAACTTTATAATTACTGGTCATCTACATTGTCTAGCATGTTTGCTTTATAAAAGTTCTTGCACTTAACTTGAAGTTTATCAGTAGTTAGCAAATTCCCTGTTTTTCACCTGATGTTAGGGAAGCAGATACTTTCATACTATTACTCTCGAAATAATTCACAATTTTTCCAGTGTCCCACATTACCCTCACTTAAATATTTCCCTGATATTCAATTCCCAAATGCTCCCCTGTTACTCATACACCTTTCCCACATACCTCACTCTCATCCATCACCTCCCCCACCCCATCCTTAACACCAACTCTCTCCCATGTCCCACTTACCCCTTCATCGCAACCTTCCCTCTCGTATCATTTCCCCAAATATCACAACTTCTCAACCCCCCTTCCCCATACTGTTGTGCAACATTTCCAATCTCATCAATCTGGTCCCCCCATATCTTAATTGGTCCACCCCCCCCCCCTTCCACCTGTACACAGATATAATTCAACCCATCTTCAAACTGGGAAATTTCAACAAAGGGACATATTGAAGTCAGAAACATTCTTGCACTTTCTAAGTCATAAATCTACAGATGATGGATAATAATGTTATGATAACAACTTGCTATAAAAGTTTTAAATTTATAGTTGTGTTGCATACTTTCATACCCATTGATATAAGCTAATTATCTTATATACTTTCATACCCATTGATATAAGCTAATTATCTTATTTACTTTCATACCCATTGATATAAGCTAATTATACCCATTGATGCTGTATAAAGTTTTAAAAATCATCATGTGTAAAACAAACTGCAAGAACAGTGTTAATAAATTTTATCCAATATCTTTTCAGGATTCAGTTTCTCACTTAATGGACAAGATTGATGAAATGGCTGGTGTAATGCAGAAGGCTATTGAGGTATGGGAAATAGTTATTTTTATCTGGCTTTATTCATACTAATATTTATGGGACACATTATCCTTGGAGGGGAACTCATCTAAGAAAGGGAAAACTCAGAATTATAACCTGGAGATGGAGTTCCATAGGCGGACAACATTGATGCAATGAAAAAATTTCAATAACACTTGCGAGGCTACTGGTGCCAAGCAAGCTGCATCATCCACATATGATGTTCCCTTGGGTTATCCAGGTGCATGAAGAGAGATGATTTGCTGTGTAGGAAACCAGCTTATACTCCTAAAGAAAAATCACAGGCCTTGTGATTTCATCTTGCAAAGTGACGGAGAGAGGCCACAAAAATAATAAAAAATTACATACTAAATAATGGAAGCCTTCTCAGACAAAAATATCATGCTTGTATTCTGTACTTGATATGTTATAAGGGTAGAATGATTGAAACCTAAATTTAATTAATGGAGTTGCATTACCTTATTTTTCACCTAGCAGAATTCTGTTCTGATATATTCTTATTGCGCATATTATATTCAAGTGATGATATTTTTTTTAACATTTTAAAAATCAATTATTTATAAGACTTAATCGATTGAATCAGACCTGCCAACCCTTCCGATTTTGTCGGAATTATACAGATTTTTTACCCCTCATTCCGACAAACCCCTTAAAATTCCAATTTTTCGAACTTTATAATTTTTCACCTGTCATAAAAATTCGAAAGCAACTAAGCAAAAAAAAAAAAAATCGGGTAGGACAGGAAGTGTAGGATTTGTTTTTATGAAGCGTCTACATGTTCATCGACTGGACGAATAAGTGAATTATTCTCGAGATATTCGTCTGGCTAGTATTTATTCGACCAAGTCACATCACCACCATAACAAAGTTGCGCGAGATATTTGTCCGCCAGCCTTGTTATGTGACCTCTAATTGTCTATCAGAGTTTACGGAACTTCATTTCAACAAATTCAAGATAGTCTGGGCATTTACACGAAGAAAAAAAAATTTTCAATTCTACAAAAGAAATACTAGAAACATTGCTGGTATATATAATGAAAAATTGTTTAAAAAATGACAATGTTTTTTATAAGGCATGTCCGCCGGATATATATCTCCCCCACTATTTGTCTGGTCGCCTGATGTGTAGACACTGCCTTGTTTTTATCGAAGTGAACCGCGATCTTCAAATCATTCTTCAATCATCAATTGATCTGATCGCGATTCATCCTTTTTACAAGGCTAAATAATAATTCCGACCTATTTTTTTGTTAAAGCTTTTCTTAATTAAATGATTTAATCTATTGAAAGTGATGGGTACACTGATATTAATAAACATTGAAGGAAATATTTCTCTAGCCAACTCAGATCGTTTTAATGCCAGAGTCAAAGAAATTTTTCCAGATTTGAATAATGCTAGAAGATTGTAAAGACAAATTACAATGAAACAAGGGCAAGCATGACAGTTGATAATTTCTCTAACTTGCTTGTAACTAAAATCAACTGCAATGCTAACCTTCAGTTGTCTAAAGAGCTGTTGGACACGTGCAAAAGGGCCACTAGGGATATGCTGGAAAACTGAACTCTTACTAAGAGTCAAAGCAGTCTGTGTGTGTATACATATGTAAATAAAATGGATCTTCTGTTCTGTACTGTATATATTGGTACCGGGTATATAGACATTTTCAGTAATGTTTTACTCATGTTTGTGGTGCTCTATGGACCCTTCCAAGACAATGGAGGTAACTTTATATTTCTTGATTTACTACAAAAGGCTTGTGCATTAGTATATAGATTTTAAACCAAGCCCCCATGAGGTGCCTCCCCTGGGAGGCAGCGGCCCCACTTCCCCCTCGCGCGCAACCCCCCTACAGATTTTTTTTCTTGGCATGTTGGCAGGTCTGTTGAATATTGGTATGCTAACTGAAGCTGTTGTTTTTATGTCTAGGTTGATGAGACCGTTGGGTGTGCTGAGAAAGAACGCCTGTCCCGTCTCGAAGTTGAGAACAGGGCTCTGAGAGAGCTGCTGGAGATTTGCACCACCAGCAAAGAGAGGATAGTTCCAGTTGAGCAGAAGGTGGAGATGATAAAAAAGGACGAAAGCGTGGATGAAACCGTTGGCGATGATGACGATGACACCACAGACACCGAGGGGGACTCCTCAGTAGTGATGGCGCCAGACAAGAAAGAAGACAGTGAAAAGAAAGAGGCTGTGGATAAAAAGAGGACACCCAACAGCAGCAGGGAGACCACTCCAACCGGCAACAAAAGTGTGGGAACTAGCAAATCTGCTGTTGATTTAAGGAAAGGAAAGACCACCCCTGTAAGCACAGCCACTGTTAAGAAAGCCACCTCAGCCACTGGCGTCAAGAAGGACCTGGGATCAATTAAGAAAAGTCCATCAATCGAGACCAAAAAAGATCTGAAATCAACCACCAAAGTCCCCCCCAAGGCTGTTGCTAAGAAGTGACAACTAAAAACATTAAAGCAATCCTTTATTTTAGGCCGATTCCTGATCCTTAAACAAAATACCAATATCACCGTATAGATGTTCAAAATATGGGGTGGTCATGGGTGTGAATGAATTTAATTTAGCACTTACAGCAGCATATTCCCCCAGCAACTGTGATACTATTAACAAAGTTGAAGAGATAAGATAGATTTTTAAATATTTTTTTGAATTAATTTAAACTTTTATGGGTAAAAATTTACCAAGGAAGGCAGTTTCCTGAACTGAAGCTTGTCTTCAAAATTACAAATCAAAGAAGTTACATTAATTCTAGAAATTGTCAAATATGTATGTCTGCCTTCTCGGAATAGTTATAATTTATTAAACTTTACTATTGGCAATATTATATTGCATTTATTATGAGATTTTTGTGCTATAGTTTTCATTGCTTTCTGAAGATCATTAAAGATATATTAGCATTATAGAATAGATTGGCGAAGATGGCAATTCCTTCTATTTTTCGAAAGGCAAATCATCGAATGGTAGAGTCGTTAATTTTAAATATTCGTATATGTAGTATCAGCATAATCATGGATCTTCACCATGGAACTTGTGACGAATTAAAGACGGCCCACTTCAGCACAGATATCTAGTTGTATATTGCACCCATTTGAAATTTACTTAAACCATTGTTTCATGCTTTAAATTCTGAGAACTTTCCACAGTTAATAACTATATTAATATATGGCGCTGTGAATCTGGGCAACTGGAGACATTGCAGATAATGTCTAGATTATATAATGGAGTATTTCTCATTGTGTAAAAAGTGATAATCTCTAAACTTGTATTACATTTTGAGAAATAGATATAGAGTATAGATGTGTGGACAGAAATAAAGTGATGTAGGTGTTGGAATGTGAACCATATTCACAAGGATTCTTCTGAAAACCTATCCACCAAAGGTTGGTCACTTCTGATTTGGCGTCACATTTGTTATTAAATCTTTGAGCCCGAGACAGTAAAATGTTTCAGTGGGGTCGCAAGATAAATTTACATACATTTAACAAAAAAATTTCCGTTAAATAATCGTTAAAGTAGTGATTCGAAATAATCATTCAATGCAGGCTTGTTGAACAAATAATAAAAAGCTTGTTGGATTATGTTATTTTTTTTTTTTTGTAACTACAGGAATCTCAGCATGTTAGAACCATTCAGTAATCACAAAGCTTAAATGAGGAAGAAACAGTTGCACAAGAAAAATAATTTCATAAATCCAGAAAATGGAAATTATTTTTTATTAATCATTGAATTTGTATTTTTTCATGATGTGAAAGTGAAGTCATTGTGAATGAAGCATCACTTTATTATGTATTTATTAAACTAAACATCTGATACAAAAAATATTTTAATTTTTTTTTTCCCTTTAAAATAATTTTTTTAACATGGATGAATTCAAATTCAAAATTAAGTTACATTATAGTTACATAACATGAATAACACAGAGTATTACATTAAAGGAATTTATAGTTGTAAAATACACTTGAGTTGATCAACACAGTTATAGTTCAACATAAAATATATAATAACATGCACATATGAATTATACCGGTACATTTGAATTAGAACTATGCTCTGGCATGACCAAGAAAGTTCAGTGGATATTTAAAATATATTTATGGTTTATTATCTTTTTGTAATCAGCATAACAAATATTGTCGGCTGCAATTATCTAATGTTTGATATTTATATTGAACACACTTTTTCTATGATGGACAGCATTGTTAAAAATGTCAGGCTTTTTTCAGGAGGGGTTCAATAAAAGTGGTTAAATATCAACTAGCAATGTTAATTTCTTGATTTTGTTCTATAGTTAGCTTTGAAGTGATTATTATTTTTTTTTTGCAAGGATGAATAATTCAAGGCTCACATTTTTGTTGAAATAGTTCAATGTAAAAAAAAACAAAAAAACAAGATTTCAGTTAGTATAGGTGTGGGCCTGAGCCAGTTGGTCATAGTTCACAGACCCCCAGGTAAATGCTTGTTGAAATTTTTTATTGTTACATGGTTGAATTACAAAAAAAACTTGTAACAATGGCTAAAAGCCAACACAATCTTGACTAACATTACATTGCACCCTGGCAGTGTCATGGGTCTGTCAAAAATTATTTGTTAAAAGTTAACAATGTGTGCTGTGAAGATAAGGTGCAATCTATTTTTAACTATAGGATTTAACTAAAATATCTAAGTTTACTAAAGAGCAATGGACGTATTTGATGGTTGCAAAATCAAAGTTAATTTCTTCAGTATTAAAACATATTTAGATAATACGTTAAACATGCTTTTTAAAAATGTTTATGAGGGATTGTGCCATAACATCATATCATTACATCCATCAATAAGCTTACCACAATCAGAGGCATTACAGTAGTTTAATCCACGTTTTTTTTTTAAATTTACAGTTAACATTATCACATGAAAAGAAAATTAGTTAGCATAAATTTGTTTAAAATATCTCAAAATTTAAAAGTGGCAGACATTAAATTAATATAAATTTTCTTACATAAAATACAAACCAGGCATAAAGAAAACTGTTATTTTCTTCGTGAAAAGTACCTCTTCTTTTATTAGCTCTCTACCATTGCATTAGCTCAGGTTTAAAAAGCCAGATATTGATCAACATGAAAAAAACGTAAACCATTGGAATGAATTTGTTGACCCAGAAAGCCTGCCTTTCTTGGGGGGAGGTGTACCCTGAGTAAAACGTCTCAACCACTAAAGCCAGAAAAAAAATGCCAACTTGGCTGGTCTTTATTCCAAAAAACACAAAAAATAATGACAGAGTTCATGTGACAAAGACACAAAAAATAATGACAGAGGTCATGTGACAAAGACACAAAAAATAATGACAGGAGGTCATGTGACAAAGACACAAAAAACAACAGCTCATTGGAATAGTTAAATTATTTAAAAGAAGGTAAAAACCATCTGCACAATTTGAAACCAGCTTAAGTTAAGTTAACATGTTTTTGTTCTTGCTTCTACCGTTACGAGGATTTCCTGGCACATTTCTGCCGGCAGATGAGCCGTAACCTGGGTTCCTGGCTGGCAACAGCCATCTCCTCTCATCATCGCTGCCTCGGCTGCTGGTGTTGTTTTCTTCCTCGTCCTCATCATTCTCCGAGTACTGCTGTGGTACCTGCTCCAGGCTCCTTGTTCTCCCACGCCAGATTGGAATGTCAAAGGCTGGACGACCTTTTTCTCTGTGCCACTGTAAAACCACGCCCAAGATGACCAGTGGGGGCCAGAGAGTGAAGAGGATTATATCTGTGTGTTTGAAAAATTTTTAAAAAACGTTTTAACAAACAATTTTGGAGGTTGTTAATTTTTCTTTAAAATTCAAAACTTATTTTAGAAGATTTTGTTTACCTTCGGTATGGAAGGGGAAGATGACCTTGACCCCCAGGTAGTTTTCTTCTGTTTGATGATAAACTGAGTTTAGAAATACAAGTCTGAGGCTGGACTGCAGTGGGATGGCGACGGACATGAGAAACAAATAGCCACCGATGACAGCACAGGATAAAATACTCAGCTGAAGAAAGTATGAAATGTACAGATGGTTTTAACATTCTTTTGGGAGATATTAAGTTTAAATCTCAAGATTTCACAGGTAACCTGAGGTTGAGGGGGACAACATACACAATGACCATTAATTTAATAAAAACAACTTGTAACCACATTGTAATTTTTTTATCAGTTTTAGTTTTTCACCGGCATGCTTCACGTAGGACTCAAAAAGCTAAGCAAAAACTACATTGAGTTCATAGCATTTGTCAAAATTTAAATATGTAAACTCCACCCGTTTTTTTTCCTTCACCTTTTGATATGAGAATGGATATCTACTTAAAAGTGCTTTGTTTGTTCGACTAAGTATAATAATTAATTATTTTATTTAAACTTTATTGCATTTAGCTAGAATTTATCAAACAGATTTAATATGCATTGAGTTATTTAAAAATGTATACAACTAAACATTCTATCTATTTTATTTTCATCATTTGATCCTCAATTCAATTACTGGTTTATTGAAATGCCCAACATTTTTCCCAAACTATTTGTGAAATTTCAGTGCGTCAAGAGGAGTACTCATCTATAAAATATAAGGGGCACTGTGTCTGAAGTAAATAAATATAGTTGAACAAGATATGTTCAAGCTTGGAAAAAAAAGACAAGACAATTAATTGACACCTTAAGCATAAGTTTTATTTTATATTTAAATGTATCTGTTTATTATTGTATTGTCTGCTGAAGAAGGCATTCAGCCGAAATGATCGTTTAATTGTCCTTTATTTATTTTTTTAAAAGCATTAAAATAAACGTATCTTGTTCAATTATTTATTAACAGTACCCATCCATCAGGAATATTACACAAGACCTTACCAGCTTTGTAAAGGCCATGAGAACAACAGCAAACAACAGAATGACACAGACAAATCCCATGGCATAGTTGAAAGTTGTCACCCACCAAGTTACATTTGCTGGAAATGAAAATATTGTGGATATCTCGTAAACAAAGTGCATTTTAAAAAATGATAATAATAATGGAAAAATATAAATAATAATGTTTTATTTTGTTTGTTGAGAATTTTCAATTGATAAATTATGATTTCCTGAAATGTTAGTTAAACATTAGAAGAAGAACAAAAAGTCCAATCAGGGCATAAACTGGTTGGATTGATTAATGATTAGCTATGAAGGTAAATGCCAAAGTGTGGGCAGGAGCCTTGTATCTATTTCCTATTTTTTTATTTCGAATGTATTCTATAATTAAAATTCTGTTAGACTCTATACATCATATTATTATCATATTCAGGTTTTTCTGCATATAATATGTTAACTGAAGAAGCTGCTATGTTTATTGTATGTCTCTACTAATGCTGGTCATCAACTGCATCCTGGTTTATTTCCAGTCATCTTGACTAATTCTTGCCATTGAATCAAACAGGCAAGGATGAGAGGGTGAGGCTGACGAATTGAGCAACTCACTCTCACCACAAAATACAGCTCAAATCAAGGCTACAACTCAAGTAGAAAATTGCTTTGGTCATCTTCGTGTTTGAAGCATGAAAATCAATGCTTCCTCTACCCAGTTATATTTAGTATGTTTCAGCCTATGATTTAAATAAACTTACTACCATACAGTATTCCCAACCTCTTGCTTTATTTTAAAGCAATATTTTTTTAGCATTTTTAAAATAATATTTTAACCCTTTCATTACCGCTGGTTTTGGGGGGGCATCGATTTTTGCTGACTCATCAACTAAAAAACTTAAAGATGAAACTTCCGGTATTATTTCATTCTCTATCCGATTCGCTTATTAACTTCTCTATAGATTAACGAATAAAGAAATATATAGCAATGAAATATGACGTCCTTGGTATTTCAGAGAAGTTCTTTGCATCTTTGTTATGACGACAATGTGACATCCTTGATAATTGAAAGTTGGTGATCGTTATGTCGCGTCCTCATCGGTAACAAAAAGATTAAGTGACATTTCTTTAACTTTTCAAAAAGCTTAAATAACTTGATGAATAATTTAAGGGCAGTTCTTTAGTAGTTATGAAGTATTTTTAAAATTATTTATATTAACTTGGCTTATTTCATGTGTTTCTTTGTGGCAAAATCTTGTTCCACGTCCTGTCATTCCCATCGAGCTGAAGACTCGTTGCCAATGACAACACATTCTATCAAATTTTCAGACCTACCCCCAAAAATCAGTTTTTCCTGTTTTTCAAGGGGAAGATAAAGGAATATGATGCAATGATGTCTTAAGAACTGTAGCCATCGGTAAGTCACACAATCACAAAGGATTTATATGAAAAATTTTGTTTTTAGGGGTTGGTTTTTGCTCTCTTCCTAGGTTTTCTTTACCAATACTATTTATCTGAACCTAACTTCTGTTTTTACAGAGTAAACTAAAGAATACCACAATACGTTGGGGATTTTAAACAAGACAGACCTAATAGAATGGTAAATGTTGCATGATGAAGAGCAAACTACCAACCTAGAGGTGTTATAAACAGTACAGATGATATCAGGTAACCAGTGACAAGTCCGGCCAGGAAGACTGACATCACTGGAAAGGGGTAAAGAAACCAGAAGGCCAACCAGAGACAACCTCCTACAATGCCCAAAGATAAGGCAACAGGTAATTTCACTGTGGACATAGTTTTTTTTTTAAAAGAAAGAAGTTAAGTAACAAATATATTTGAATCATTTATATATAATTATTCATAATTTAATAATTCATGAATTGTTAAATTTAAATTTCTTAAATCAGTGATTCTCAAAAGTTTAGATTTTACAATTGGGATGCTTGCAAATTCATGTCAGCAATTGTTACATATTTGTGTATTTATTCCCAATGTTAACATCCCCACACACACACAAAATTACGACCACTCCTCTATACAAAAGTTTGTTACAAATTTGTTTCTTCAGATTTACCTGAATCTTCAAAAGTCTGTGGTACTGACATAACTATGTAGAGAAGCAGAGATGAGAAGCCATAGCCAACAAGTACTTGAGCTGAAAGAATGTAAGATACAAGTTTTATTTAGCAGATTCACTGAACCTTCAGCATAGGGGCCAGACATAAAAAAAAGAATTATGTTTCTTATGTGTTGATTTAATTAAGTGTTTCTGCATGAATCAAACAAGTTCATTGATAAGTTCACATCTCTTTGCCAAATGGTCAACTATGCAATGAAATTCTTGTTGTGCAGTATGCTATGTGCAATCATAATATTATTTTGGCATATTTGTTTACACAGTATGCAGCATTGTTCATATTTAGCAAATCCTTTCTGTATCAGACAGTAATAAACCAATGAAATATGGATTCAAAGCTGAAAGGTTTAGATTTCTTCTCAGTATATTTAAAAATTGAAATGAGTTGTTGTTTTTTATCCACAATTGATTTGATTGGATGGTTAATTTCAGTCCTTTCCATTCACACACCAGATATTTTTTAACTGTTAATATTTTACTTAACTAAATTGGCAGTGAAATGTTAAGAAGAATAAATATTGTCTGAAATAAAATATACGGCCGCAAACATGTGGGAAGAAGTTTAAGGTAAGAAGGAAGTTTAAATCAGAAAAATGAAATAACTGAAATAACTTACTGACTTTGAAGAACCGATGTCCAAAGAATAGCAGGAATGTGCCAAGTGATCCGAAAACTATAGATAACACAATTTTCCCACCTGTTACTGAAAGTGGGATTAAACAGAAGTGAATTTTTAATAAATAAAGAAGCAAAATTCATAGCAGTTTCATACAATAGGCTTCTCAGAGTCTGTCTTTAATTAAATGTATTCCTATAACAAAGTCTCCATTGGGTAACTGGCAACAGTTTAAAAGGATTGTCCCACTTTTGTGCAACAATCAATAATGCCTAGGAAAAAAATATGTAGAATACATTTTGTGAACATTTTTGTTTTAATTCCCCATTTTTTTCAGCTTATGAATCTTCACAGAAAGATTTTTACAACCACATTGCACAGTATCATGTTTTGAGCCAAGATGGCAAGACTTAGTCTAGACGACTGGAAATAGACCAGGATGCAGTGTGTCTTATGTGTTACACTGTGTTCTTTATGCGTTCTGTGTTAGAATTTTCCTTGTTTCACTGTCATACCACCTATGGGTCTCGGTCTCGATTTGTTTTTAGAGTTTGCCTTCTCTTAGATGAGTGCCATCCAAGTCCCAACCACCCCAGGTGCTGGTGATATTTTTGTTTGTCTAGGCTTTTGCTGGAGATTGAGCTCAGCAACCCAGCACCATTGCACTAGAGGTTTGGTTTTTAACTGCTACAACAGCTGATTATTTCAAAACCAGCAACTTCCTGGATATGAGCAAGGCAACACAAACATCCCCACTAAATGTTTCTGCAAATTCAAACTTACTGGCTGTTGTGCAGTCCTCCTTTCCAGTGCCACAGGAATATGTGACAGCTGTTACATATGCAGCCTTTAGCCCCGTGTCCAGTCTAGTGACCAAAACAGCATAAGCAGCACCCTGGCTGGCCTGTGAGGTAACAGCCACTGTAGATTTAGATGTTGGGCCATCACTAAATGAAAATATCTGCAAGGTATTCAGAAGGGAACAGAGGTGAGTGTAACAATAAGTTTTTCATTCAGCTGTTTTTGTCAAGGCATTGTTTCCCCAGTTTAAATAGTTTGAACAAGGATTGTCATCAGTATCTTGCCCTTGATACCAGTGAGGTCTGTTAAACTAATGGAGTTGAGTAAATGAGCTTGGTTAAACTATGCAGGCGAATCAGTTTGGCTCAATGTTACGTACCATTATGGTTTTCAAAATCTAATCTGTTTTAAGATTTGGCTCATTGAATAAAGAATACATAACAAAGGACTGAGAAAAACAGTATGCAAAGAAAATGATACCAAAGCTAGTGATGCTATCAATATTCAATTTAATTATAATTATACTATTAAATTTCTATACAAATTCGAAGGTACACTCTCTCAAAAATACAAATATTAATTTACACATACACAATTGCATAATGACTTATGTATGTTAGGAAATGTAGCGAAAATCTCTCCCTCTGCTAAGATACCTGGCGGTCTATATATAGGGATAAAATCAGATAGATCTAGTAAAGACATTCTAGAAATTGTGTCACCTGATGGCATTCTTTAGAACATATAAAACCCATTCAAACATAAACAACCTTTTCCCAATCAAGGGAAGGATGGGTAAGGGATGACACAGCACATTTACTTGGTGACATCAATATCAACATCAATATCAAGGCCATATTAGGGGAGACAAATAGTGGTGGCTAAAAATAGCTCTACCTTGAAGTGAAAAATGTGACCAAGACTGTGAGTGAAATTGATTGGTTGAGATTTAGAGTTGTCTGTGAGTGAATAAGTTTGTGTGTACATGTAGCCGTGGAGATGTCACTGAGAGCCAATCAGAGCTAGAGAGAACGTGATGGAAACTTAGAAAAAGGAAAAACCCTTTTGGTAAAGTCAGTTGACTAGGAAAAATATCTGAGTTGTTAAATGGACTAAGTCTAGAGATATGCCTTGTATAGAGTAAGGCTTATGTAAACTGGTTTTGAGTTCTTCACATCAAATTTGTGGATGGCAGGTTGTTACAAGAATAACCCTAGACTCACTACTAAACATTTAACATGTTTCAATCAATAATAATAGATTTATGTGTACCGGTACTTAATGGGGGAAAAAACCTAAAATGGGCTTTGATATTCTACAACAATCAGATTGACCTTAAACAGCTGTTAGTTCAATGCTGAAAAAAAAAAATCCCTACCTTCTGCCCGTAAAGTAATATATCATTGGGACTAAGCATTTTCTGCACGCCATCAAAATATTCTTCCTGGCTAAGATCTCTAGATGCAAGGTAGTAGACGTAGACATCGTAAGTAAGATTTTTCAACACCTGCAGCACAGAAAAAATTCATAAATTACAAACGATAACTTTAAATAAATAAAAACTCGAAATATGGTCAGGTATTTTTATAACAACAGCCACCAAGTGAAACATAACCAATAACTGTAAAGAAAAGAAACAAATAAATTTAAGCAGCACGCTATCAATATGAAGAAAACCAAATTCCTGGTCAAATTTTTAAATACGCAAGACAAAACCTACATACACAGAGTGAACCTTACCATATTACTTTCACAATTTGGAAAAGACTGGTCCTGGTCAACGGCCATGTTGGCCAATTGAAACCAAACGTCAGTACGGTGCAAGCCAGGTTTTAACACAATTGATGGGTCAACAGGAATATTAAATACTTGGTTACATCCTCCTGGAAGTGGTTCTGTTAAAAAAATTTAGTGTTGAATTGAGGAACTATACATTTTAACCGATGGCATTAATTATAAATGTTAATTACAGAGGGATAAAGTATTTTAAAAGAAAATATGAGAAACACAGTAATAATAACAATGACATATAATGATTACGTAGAGCAATAATATAGGAATTATCTATCATTTACATCAACTTCCGTAACTGGGTCAATCCCAACATTTAAAATCTCGTGTGTCCACTTACCATCTGCATAATGTATATCCAAGTAGTAGACTGCTGTGACATCATGAAACCCTTCAACATGTATATACCATGTAAAAGTCTTCTGGCGCTTTCCAGATAGAGTCAGTATACCAACATCAGTGCCTCTTTTGGTTGCATCGTATGGGAAAGTTGCATTGGTTGACAGAGAGATGTTGGAGGACAAACAGTGAAACTAAATTGAAAAAAAGCAGCGAAAAAAACAAAATTTCATTAATGAAACAGTAAAAATTGTCCTCAAGCTTCTTTGTTATACTGTGTCAGTGAATTTTCAGTCTACAAGGCAAGTGTGGGGAGGCAAAAAACTAATGTCAATGTAAAATTAGGTGCACAATACCCAAAAAATAAGATATGACCTTTCAATATAATCCATGTAATATTAATAATAGTAGTAATTTTCATGGACACTGCGTTTCTGTTATCAGTTTTAGTGTGCAGTGAGCTAAAAATTATTGAAAACCGCATCTTTTCAGTGTTAGAAAGGAAAAAAAATAGGACATATCTCTAACTGTTCACTTACAAATAAAATCATGACTTAACCAGGCATATGCAAAAAAACTTTTGTAACTAACAAATTTAACTGAGGTGGGGAGGGACCTTTGAGAGATTATTCTATTGTGGTTCTAACCTGAATTAGCACATAACTTATATTCTCAACAGAAACACTGAGCTGTGCAGTTGTAGTTTCATTAGCCGGAATTGTGACCACGGTGCTTTTGCCTATTCTCGACTCAAGTACCAAACCAGCTGTTGGATATAAATACGGTAATAAATTAATGTTTCTGGATACAAGATATAAATGAATGTAAAGTTTTGGTGATGTTGTTTTAATTAAATGGGTACAGACTCTCGATATTGTGTTATCTGCAGTATTATTGACAGCCATTCACTTATCAATCAAATGTATAAATTAACATATATGTTTTTCACAAATTGGTTTCAGCATTCCAAATGTAAGATAGACAAAGGATAATGTAAAAATGGGACATGTGATTTGTGTTAAAAGAGAGGCAAATATGGTATATCGGTGGAAGTGGAAGCCTGTTAAATAATTATAATTGTTCAGGTCACAGCAGAGGTCATCAAACTAAGCATGAATGCAAAGCTACAAGACCACCATAATCAAATATCAGCTCACTATCTATTTGAAACATGACAGCGGGATGGATTTGGCCTGTGGGCCCTCTAGTTTGCTTTTCCCTGAGTCATGGCTTTCCCATTTCAGTTGACAGGTATGTCTTAATGTTATAATGAAGTGTTAAAATATCTAAGCATATTTACCTCCATTTGTTAACAATGAGGACAAAACTGCCAGAACTGAGCATAGTGCTTTGGGTAAGACGCTCCACATTGTATTTGAAGTACCTTTGATTCGTTTTACATTGTATTTAAGCCAGAATTTATCATACTACAACTAATTCGGCTTTGGTTAACATTCAACATGTCAATCTACATGATATTCAATGATGCCGCTTCAGATGATTGTTGTTAAGGTTAGGCCTAAACACTGCAACATTTAAAGTTATGTATCACTAAAATGAAAACCAGCTTACATGAAAAAGGCAGTAAAAAATCTGGAAAATCACAGACAGAATATTTACATAACGGGATAAAACTAAGGAAAACACCATTGATACAAACAATTTCCCAGCTCATTTACAATTATTAAATATGTATACCGGTACTTAATTTCTAAAAAAATTGCGCCTAACAAGAAGTTTCAATAAAGTCTGTGGTTGTGAACCATCAGCTCTAGCGCAGAATATCATTCTTTGAAGGAATACCTTTGGATCTATTTTTCCCACTAATTTATAATGCCTGCGTTTCTTAAAATAATTTCTTAACAGATATAATTTATAAAAGACGTTCCTCACTAGGAAAAGGTTGGTGACCCTGATAGCTTGATTTTAAAATAATATTGAATAATTATTATTCTCATTATTGTTATATTATTTTTTTGTAAATTACAATATTTCATTTAATCACCAGTACTTTCATATAAAGTTAAACTGTTGAACCCAGCAATATGTTTGGTCTACAATATTTGTCTCATCATACTTTAGACTCTGGAATTTTTGTATTGGTCAATTACTTTTTCTTAATCCAACGATGGAATGTCTTAAATTAAAATTTCATTGGTTAGCTAAAGTAATTATATATATTTAAATTTTCCAGCATTTTGGAAAAAGGGGTTTACTAATGTATTGTAATTAATTGTATTGATTTTCTGACAACTTTTGGATTTTATTTTTTGTGGAAACTGAAATAAAGTGTGTAAAAGTGCATTCTATGAAACTTTAAGTTGGGGTTTCATTAAAACTCTTTTGGATTGTCTTTCTTCTTTTTTACAGTTTCTTACCACAGTGTGTAAATTCTCACCACATTGTGTAACTGTAGCCGCACACATGTTTTAGTTGGGGGAAACAAGCATGTACTGGCTGAAATTATGTCAGGGAAGGGGGCAATCACGTCATTGCCCGGATAGCGTAATTTACTTTAATATTTATTAGACAATTATGAGTTAATATCTAGAGGATGGACTGCAGCTTCCTTCTGAAAGAGGCATAGTTAAGGGGGTGAGGGGGGGGGGGGGGCAGAAATCCCCAGGCACCAGACTAGAAGTAGTTAGTAGAAGGAGTGTCAGGTGTAAATGGACTTACTTTATTCATTAGTTTTTATGGGTTTCTGAGTTAAGGGGGGTGGGGGGTAAAAATTCATCTTGTCGACAGGCACTCTGCCTTTTGAATCTCACCAGCGATAGATCTGACAATCTGACCTGCGACTCAATATGATTATGTTCATTCGTCTGAGACAACTCAACTATGACTATATTAATTCTATATGTTACTGTTACCTAACACTAACGCCTTAACTTTAATACATTTACTCTGACTTTGTAGCTTAATAATAATGTAGGCCCTATATCGAACTTTCAAAAATCACTACTGAAGAGATAAGACCGAATATAGTTTTTTTTTAGACTATTCTACGGTCAGTGTTTTACTAACAGGATCTGAAATGTCAGATACAAATGAGAAACAAAAACATAACTGGTCAGTCTATTTACCAATATTCGAGATATGTTCCGAATATATTTAATATAATTCTTTCAAAACGTCTTTTCTCCCCCCCCCCCCCCCCCCCACCCCCCTCAACCGCTTCAAACCAAAACATTTAAATTTAATGTGATTTGTGTTGCGAGAAATTATTAAAAATATTATATCAAGCCCAACACTATTTTTGTAAAGTACGGTACATTCTAACTTTCTCCCAATTAAAATGCTTATCTGAGAAAATATGTTGTTAATTGAATCAAGGGAGTAGCTGGAATTTGTGACGCGTTGCGTTGGCTGCCCCATAATTAACGAAATCCACAATGCATGCAAAATGAGCCCTATGCATAAAAAATAAGCTATATAAATTAAATGAATTTTTGTTAAAGCACCAAAATAAGTGTTGCATGGCCACATGGCGTAGACTGCATCATCTACTCCGCTTAATGCACCAGTATATTGGATATGCACTACCACTTTTAGCTCAATTTATGAGTTATGTATTATATAATAGTTTATAGATAGTAAAATATTCATAAATTTTGGTTGGTTTCATGATTATTTGTGTCAGTTAAATCTAGAAAAAGAAAAGTGACCTACTTCTACCCAGTTAAATTTCTTGATTTCCTGAGCAGATAATCATAAAATATATTTTTTGTGACGATGTTCAATATTTTAAAACTCCATTTTCATTTTTGGGGGGCTGTGACTCAGCTTTATTAATCCAAGAAAAGTTTACCTGCCTGTATTACCGTTTCGCATCGTTTCTTTGCTCGAATCAATCACCTGTGAAGCCAACAGCCAAAACTTTTAAGAAAAGCAGTTAAACCGTTTACACACTCAATCCACACTCAATCCACGCAGTGAAGAGGATATTAGGGCCACAAGCAATGCAAATTTTGGGCCCCCACAGATTTCAAAATAATTGTACTATGCCCGTAAAATTGAGTACTGCACTAGTATACATGCTCAAAAAACTAAACGCACTGTAATAAAAGGAAAGTTAGGGGAAACTTTATTTCCTGATTCTAATATACTAAAACAATAATAGTTAACATAAATCAATAATAACAATAATTGTTAAGTTAAATAATTGCATTTAAATGAAATATGTATATATATATAATATATATATATATATATATATATATATATTAAAAAAACTGGAGGTGTGGGGGATATTCAGCCATAACAAGAATTGTATCATATGTAACTAAAAATAAAATCATTGGGCGCCCATAGATACTTGCTGTCCGAAAATAAAATTTACGAAAAATATTTTTTATCTCTACACAAAAATTTAGCATACACATTTTAAAAACCCTTTGTAAAACTATAAACTTAAAATGAAATTCCGGTATCTGTAAGATGATGTCTCCAGGACTCTACATCAGGCCTGCACAACTCAAAATGTAAGGCGGGCGGTAATACTTTATGAAAAAGTCGTTCGGGCCGAAATGAAATAGGAAAGAGGTTGGGGGGGGGGGGGCCGGTCTATTAAGAAAATAAGAATAGTTGGTTACTTCGCGGGCCCCAAAGTGGGTGCTGTCGGGCCGCATGAGGCCTACATATTTTGCAGGCTTGCTCTACATCCTATAAACATGAGGCCTATTTTATAACCGTATTTTAATGCAGTGGTTCTGAAAAAAATCCGGCCACTGCTCCATAGGGACCATAAATACCCCCCCCCCC